GAGAGAGAGAGAGAGTGAAAGAGAGACCAAAAGATACCTCATCGACAGCATTGTCCAGCAGTTCTGCTATTGCTGCAAGAACACAAAACGCATGCATTGGACTTTCAGCAGGCTCCAAGCAGAAGATGGAACCTCTCTTTAACTACCAAAGCAACTAAAGAAAAAAATATCTAAATATCAAATATATAAATCACTCCATAGAAGAACATACCACCCAACGCCCACTTATGTGAAGTAGCATTGGAATGAAGAAATTTGGGATGAACACGTAAATGATCCATGCTCTCTGTAAAAGCTTATAAAATCAGCACTCCCAAATCAGGTAGTAAAAACAACCTTCTCTCAAAGAAAATAATACATAAAGGATGAGGATAATCCTTCGTTCATTGATATAATATACAGAGAGGAAAAACTCACAATGTAAGTAAGAGAAGAGCCAAAAGATTATATGTTCATGTGGAAGTTATTGTACATTCTCTCCCTCAGCAAAAACCTTGTCTAGGAGTATTGTTAGGCGACCAAATATTGGGCATCAAACCTCCTCAAGGTAGAGACCAACCTCACAAAAACTTCAAAATAAATAAACAAAATTCATACACACTCTCTGTGTGCCAGCAAAAAGGAAAATCCTAAGATTGAACAGAGATCAGCACAGTTCTGTCTTTAAGAACTCAAAATCCATTTAACATAAATAAATAAATACTCATTTGATGATTCTAAAGTGGATCCCAAAATTTCAGAGGTAGAAAATCCTCCATAGCAGGTATTTTGCCTAAGACGTGTACAATGTGTTCCCTTGGGAGTACAACATACTAACTGAAGAGGAAATCAGTACCTCTAACAACTTCTTTAGTGGGTGGTCCCTCAGGATAGTCTCCTGCCTTCCAAAACTGTCGACAAATTGATTGAGAGGATCCAGAAGCAATAAGATTCATGTCCAATGCTGGATTTCTTTTCTCCAAGTTACTCTGATTAATTTCTTCAGAATTTGGTGGACCGGCTGGAGTGATCTCCTCTTTATGGTCATTTCTGCCAACTTGTTCAACATTTTCCTGTTGAACATTTTCAGCTAGAGAGTTATCTGGTGCTTTCAGCACAGATGGGAACTCTAAAATAACTCCTTTGACTTCTGCCTCACCGTTGTCATCATCACTGCTCAAATCTACCACCATCGGAGAGCCCATGTTTATATGCGGCACTGTCCTGGAGAAAGGAGAAAAAGAGTCCAGAACATCAATAGAACAAAATACTTCAATAACTAAGAACACAATCAGAATAAATAACAATAAGAATAAATATTTCAAGAACTATAAGCAATGATAGAGTTCGAGAGAGAGAGTGAGAGACTATTCATAAAATCAGTGAAATAAAATGAGTTCAACTTTTATGAGGCATCTAATTCACTTAAATGCACATATTTATCTATAGTATCAATTGACATATTCAGTACTTACTTCATTCATGCGGTTGTATATGTACAAACTCATTTGATATTTGATGAACAGACTAACTCTTTTATGTTCGTCACATGGCATCAAGGCTCTCAATGTGGAAACCGAAGGCTTTCCCATTTATCAGGCTACTCAAAATTTCGTTCTTTCATTTCTTCATTCTTTCATTTCCACTGAATAATGGTTCATTCATTAGCCATTTTCCATTGGTACAAACTCATTTGTTATTTGATGAACAGACTAACTATTTTATGTTCGTCACATGGCACCAAGGCTCTCAATGTGGAAACCTAAGGCTTTCCCATTTATCAGGCTACTCAAAATTTCATTTTTTCATTTCCACTGAAAAATGGTTCATTCATTAGCCATATGGAAATTGGTGTAATCTACCACTACTCATGTTCTATACCATTTAGGCTTATGAAACCAAAGATCTATTCTTGGACCTCATAAGGTTCCCAATACATGGTTTCTTTTTGTGGATGACCATTATTGTCCAATTGTGAGGAGAAAGTTTCAAGTCTCTCATTCCGTTCCTTTCAAACATTAAAGATGTGAAATCCAAGATCTAGACTTTCCATTGGTGGAAGAAAATGATGCAAATTAAAATTCAATACGGCGGGGCAAAAAAAGAGGCAAAACTTACATCTAGTTACTCCAAAGAGGTTGGGTGTGTTGACATGGGAGAGAAAAAGATCTCTTCCATTACCACAACTTACCGCAACAAGTGAGTGAGTCTGCCATTCATGCACTCCCATAACAAATCAAGGAATTCGGTGAGCTGCTGTGGGGAAGCACCATCCCACTAGCCTGCCTAATGAAATTCAATGGATCAACCTCCACCACTATCAGATTGGAGAACATTTCTCAAACTTTTTCAATGTTTCAAAAACTGCTTCCATTATCAGTCCACAAAAATCTCAAGTTGAATGTTGAGGAGAATAAATTGACTCACCAATGAGTCAGTTTCTTGATTAACCATGACATTTCCATCATCAATTGTTCTTTGGAACATTAAAGAGATGAAAACCAATTGCATCTAGTTACTCAAAAAGTGTGTGTGGAGAGGTTGGGGTTAAGAGGCAGACAAAGAAAGGGGAGGCACTCTCAGCAAACAAAAAGAGTTCTTCCATTACCACAACTCACCGCAACAAACAAATGAGTCTACCAGGTCATTCACTTTCCTTAGGACTTTTTAAAGGAGGCACTCTCATTACAAATAAAGGAATTCAGGGAATTGCCATGGAGGAGCACCATGCCCACTAGCCCGCCCAATTACATTGAATGGATCACCCTCCATCAATATCGGATGGGAGCACAGCTCCCAAACTTTTCCAATGTTTCAAAAACCGCTCCTATTATCAGTCTCAAGGTCCATGAAAATGTCCAGTGGAATAGTGGGGAGAATAAATTGACTCACCCATGAGTAGTTTCTTGATTAACCACTATCATCAATTGTTTTATTATTATAGCCCAGGAATAAAATGGATCTCAAAAGGAAAATTATATCTTCTTCTCGATGTTGAAAGAGCTTATCAATAATTTAAGATAAATGTTCTAAAACTTTCCAGTTTGATGCAACTATCATGGTTGCATACTTATACTAATCGTACCACTTCCTTCGTAGAAAAAGCCATGTCATAATGAAGATGCCCATCTCACCCAGCTCATGATAATGGTTCCACTCACGAACACACATTACATCTTTCTCATAAAGATGCCCATGCAAGGAAAGATGCATATCCAAACAGCGATCAATCTTTACTCATGTCAGTTCAGGGGGAGATGCACCAACCCAGCAGTGCCTTGAATTCGAGGTAGAAAGAAAAAAATATTGCCAATAAAAGAAGGCAAAATATAAAGCTCGCATTGAAGTGAACATAAGTATTTTAAAGGAGTTATTTCAAAAATACTCAATATTACATAGCCAGAAAGTGATTTTTTTAAAGTGTTACAATAAGGCCACTCTGCTCCAAAACAGCTCCTACTCCCTCTAGGTCATATATTTTTCCATTTATCAAGAGGGTGCCCATGAGTTACTTTTGGGTTTTGTGTCCCATGGATCTTTTCCCAATAGCAACGTAGCCTACTTGCTTCCAAATCTTACTCAAAGGTATCTAACTTATTTTCTTAACCTTGCCAATAGTTACCTATTACGAACCAAAGACATCATCGTCATCGTCAAAGCCTTTTCCTAACTAATTCGGGTCAGCTACATGAATCCTGATCCGCCATTCTACTCTACCAAGGGCATACCCTTCGTGAAATCATGAGTCCCCATATCTTTTCTCACTACTTCCAATCATGTCCTTTTGGGCCTATTGAGAACCAAAGTAAAGCTTTTAAAAGACTGTAACTTCAGAAGTTCCGGTCCTGCTCAACAAAATAAAAATATTCAGATGCATAATTGGTTCCACCAAGTTCCAAGCTGATAGAACATTATCAAGAACAGGAAGTTGACTACAAAGGGGATTTTGCCCACGATGAAGAAGAATTAAAGGAGCATTCCCACCAATAGATGCCCGAAGGCAATTATAGTTAGTAATTAGATCCAAAAAAGGCTTCTTAGGGTATTTTCTATGCAACTTGGACATTTTGTCAATGGTTCTTGACGCATTCGATATGCCAAGGACACGAAATGTGTCCGCCACTTTACAAACTTAGACACTTCTGCTTGCACAGTTTAGAGATGTCACTACCAATGTACTCAATGTTACTAATATCCCACCTCACCCCCTCTCTAAATGGCATATGGATGTGTTATGCCTAAAAGGTCAATTTTAGGGTTGGCATTTTTGATGCATGTAGCGGTTTCAAAGACTGACACTTGTGGCCTTGTCTACGCAACATAGGCAATTGCAAAGAAAAGTCTTTACATGTCCCTCCAAAATACACAGCAAGGTAACAAGACTGCTACAGATTAGACTAAGCTTTGAGGTCATTGTCTGCAATTTGAGAAGGCTACTGGAGATCATGGATTCAAGGGAAGAAATGCAGGGTGCAATATTAACAAACACTAGCTTTGTGTTAAAGGCAATAAAGGCAAGCACTTAGGCAAGGCAAGCTTCTAGCTCTTAACGTGGCAAAAGGGAAGCATTAGAGATTTGTTACATCCAAAACATATAAGCCAACAACAAGAAGATAAGAAGGCAAAGCATTTTAATTATAACAAAATAAAGCATATGTACCCAACATCATAGTTCGCAGAACTAAACTCTGGCAGCACCAGGTTCAGTCAATCCCAAGGAGGTCAAACTATGGAATTCTCAAAACATTTGTAAGGATTCTATCTTCGAGCATACAATTTAATAAAATAAATTATATTCACTTAAAAGAAAGAACCTAATGTTTTAAAAAATAAGAAAGAACCTAAACTGAAAGCAAGAATTCTCATACATTGAATGTTAAAGCAAAATTTAATGGGTGTGGTTTGCATAAGGTTGAAACCTTAAACAATCAAATTAAGGTGCACCTCCAAACTTTGTCATCAAATGCAATTTTGGTGACAAAAATTCTTAGGATGGAGCGAGAATCTATTTTATCTCTAATTATAAAATTTTTAACTTAAAAAAGGGTTCAAATCAAACAGATCTATAAATGCATGAAAATTTGGAAAATGGACGGTCCAAATAATGTGTTGCAATATATACTCTTTTTAGGACTTGAAATCTCTTTTTTTCCTCCATATCAATACATCTTGATGTCGAGATTATCAATTAGATGTTTTTCCAACATCAAAACAAACTTTTTCGAAGGGTTTTAGAGGTGCACCTTAATTCTACATTTTAAGGTATCAACCTTATATAAACTTTTTCCAAATTTAACACCCTAAGGCCCTGTCAGGATGCACCAATAATTGCTGGAACAAGGCAGGCTTATTTGTGATGGAAGCGAAACACCTTATCAGAGAAATTGCATTATAGTAAATAAGTGCCGTTTTGTGCACAGAAATTGGAGGATCTTTGCTTGTATCCACAGAGAGGAACTTGGACCCAAACAGAGGCTATATCCAAATTCCCATAAAAAACGGACAGATGTGAAAGAAAAAGGAAATAGAGGGGCAACGGGATATCAAATAGAAAGCTAGTTGCATTGGTATCCTTCAATGAGAGTGACTAGCCGAGATAAAAGAGGCAGCAATTAATACAGACTTTTAAATCTAGGTATTCATTTAAACCTGGAAAAAAAAAATGGTATCAGTTTTTGTTTTTTATTCATATTATTTTAATGCACCAGGATTTAGGACTATTTGCAATAAAAATTTCTAAAGACTTGGATGTTCATTAAAGGAAGGTTTTCCAATGCTCTAGATGGCTTTTAAGGTAATCAACCTCTCTAGAATTGACAAAATAAAAAAGGTAAACCAGATTTATGTCTTTTTGAACCTGAACGATCAGACAATCCAGGTCAGTGAAATATGGCCAGAATAAACAATCATACCACAAAGCACAAAACTCTAACAAATACTTGAAGCATATGTGTCCTATTTTTAATTACAAAACATACATGAATTAATATAAATCACAACATGAACCTCCATTGAAATTGCACATCTGTGTCACACGAATTTGTAGATAAGACACATAGGCATTAAAATCTCTTCAAAGTGTAAATATGGATCAAAAATTGAATATAACAAGGTTTGCAAAATTAGAAACCAATGGCAACTAAGGCCAAACTAACATACAGAGAATCATATTCACCCAAAAACAAAAATACAAAGAATCATTCAATAGTCATCAAAGAATGCATTATTTTGATCTTAATTGAGGCCCACTTATGTTGAAACGGGACTGAGACAACAACATAACATGGGCTATTGACATGGCCAATGGCCTGTAACATGGGCTACTCACATGGCCAATGGCCCGTGGCATTTATCTGACATCTTGTGGAACACTTGGAGCTTTTTTCTGACTTTTCAGTGTTGTTTGCACACTTGTGGTTAAACCATCCAATTGGCAAATTCTTTGGCCAGAGAAGGGGCTCCTATATCCTCGCTTATGATCACCCTAATCTAGAACTAATCCTGTTATAACCCCACATATATTTATCAATCTTCTATCTAGGTACACCCACACTTGTATATTTTTTCGTACATAAAATTGAATACATAACAATTTAAAAAAAAGAATCAAGAAAAAAAAAGACTCATTGATGATTATCAGTCAGAGACTGCATGGAAGAGAGCACATGGGTATGCATGACCCTTAAAGTGCTCCACCTCAATCTTTTCAATCAACTATGGCACAAAAGACCTGGCAATGAGGATGATTCCAAAACACAGAAGACCCAAGAATAAAAATGAGAAGTTAAATATTTATTCATCTCACAAAAAAAGTAATGTCCATTTCATGCTAAAGGAGCAGGCATGATTGTTGCAAGCTTGAATAACAAATACAGTAGCTATAAATGAGGCTATATTCAGAAAACAAACATAGTCTGGCTCATGGAGCTTCATGGTGAACATACCAGCATCATTTCTAACAATAAATAAACAAATAAATAACAACATGTGAGCATTGTGATTCAACCAGTCAAAATTTTAGGGAAGAATCCAGCTAAACAAAATGCCAATTGGTTGTCAAAAGCACAAGAAAATAAAAAAAACACCTATTGATAGAGGGGGAAATGAAACTACAAGACATATAAATAAGCTCCATATATTCTTAATTAATTTATAAACAGATGAAAAGAAGAAACGAAGAGAGAACAAAAAAACAACCATGAACAGAAAATATGATAATTGCAGGCCAAACTACTGAAAAATAAGACAAAAATGGATTGCATGCACAAAATCTTCAAAGGAGTCGATTCGTAACCTAATTTGCATCCATTGTTCAGGTGTTTCCGATGGTGAATATAAAGCAGAGGAGTGAACGCATTCATTTCTCACCCTCACCCATCGCGATTAGTGCCGAAATCCATCCAAATACCGATAAACGATAATGGCGATTACATTGGGGGCAGAGCAAGAGAGAGAATATGAACACTAGTCTATAAATGGAGTATAAGAGGGGGAAAGAGAGGTGGTAGAGATAGATAGCCAAAAGGTTGTTAGGAGCAAACAGTACACACTCGCAGATACAGAAGTTTGAGCACCGAACAAACACAGGTGAGAGAGAGAAAGAGACCAGTGTGCACAGCGAAGAGAGAGAGAGAGAGAGAGAGAGAGGTGTACAGGGAAGATAACTGGCAAAATTTTAAGAGGGGACAGCGAGGAGGCAATGCACCTACTATGAACTGAAAAGAAAGATACGGATTTAAGAGAGAGAGAGAGACCAAGCTTAGGAAAAGGGAGCCATATCCATAGTTCCTCCAATTTAAACTCCAAGAAGAAAAAATGCTCAGATGCTAGAAAATAAGAGGTTTATGCACAAAGTAAGAAAATGAAAAAGAAGAAAAAGTTACCCAAAGAGAGAGATGGTAAATCCAATTTAGAACGTCAAGGTGACAGGTTACTATAAAAAACAATAGTCACAACTCATAAAAGCATGAGAGGGAACAAAAAACAGTGGCAGATAAGAGGGAAACAAATAAAATAAAAGGTTGAATGAATGGACCAGAGGGAGCCTAAGGAAGTCTAACCTGACCGAGTGTTGAGGGCAAATCACACCATAAGCGCAAGTGGGAAGCAAATTACAACACAAGAATTAAAACTAGGGCAAATTGATCCTCCATGAAAACATAGTGAATTTTGCCTATAGAAACAGCCACCATTCAAAGAACTAGGCCTCTATTCTCAGTAATACCTTAAAAAAAAACATCCGACTTCAAATAAAATCAACTATTTTCAAAAGACAAATGCAGGGGTAAGCAATTCTCACTATTCAATTCAAAAAAAAAGAGCCAACATTCAAAACCCCCAAAACATTAAAAAAAAAATACAAAAAGACAATGCACCATTACCTAAGAGAAGTACAATAAGCGCCACAATACTGTACTATTGGGTTTGAAAGTCGAAAATAAGTTGAAACAAAGAGGTCATGTTTGTAAATACGGCGAAGCGTGTTTGTGATACAATGCAGTACACAAACAGAATGGGTCCAATGCACTTCAAGAAATCGACGGTTGAGATGAACAGTTCCTACCAATACGTAAGCTCGTGACATCCAGCGGTTGGTGTGACGTGTTTGTGTTATGCCGCGAAGTCCTCTTAGCGCATAGGCGCTGGGTACCAAAAAAAAATGGAGATGTGTCTGCGTGCTCCCGCGGGAGTATATTGGTTTAGCATTTATAATGACACGTGTCCTGCAACTATAAAAAAGGATAACATGCGTCATTCGTTTGTAAAGAGTCGTTTAAAGACGTTTGCACGCCCAAATCCTATTCTTGGTCATGCTTTAGGCAAGATCACGGCCGTTAAATTTTACGAGCATCTCATCCAACCCTTGATTTTAGGGCACATTTCCATATAACAAAAGCCCAAATTGACTCAAAGAACCAAGAGCTTCAAGGGTTATGATGAAGAAGATGTACAGGGACAAATGTCAGCGAATTAAGTGGCTCATGGGATGTAGTTATTATAGGCTAATTTACGATTTACAACCCTATAAATAGGAAAATTTACAAAAAGCCTCTATTTTAACTTTTGTTTTCACTTTTTTTTCCAAAATACATTCTTTACAAATACCCCCAACCAAATAAAAAATATCTAAACTACCGTCTTTACTTTTACTTTACCGACGCATCTTTCTACTATCCCAACCAAATTGGGGCTATGGTAAGTGAGATTTGGCAGTAGGGCTTGGCACTGTTAACATGTGGTTCTTCTATCCCACCAAAATAGGGGCTCCGATAAGTGAGATCTAGCAGTAGCGCTCTAGCACTGTTAAAGTGCAGTCCAGCAATAAGGCTCTGGCATTGTGCAAAATATGGTACGGCAGTTGGAAAAGGCGGTTCGCCAGTAGATGTTGGTGGATTCCAATAGTCCAACACTATGTAAAAGGTGGTTCGACTGAACTCAGTTTCGGTCTAGTAGTTGTCTTAGGCGGTCCGGCACTTGTGCGCGCCGACAATGTGATGGCGCACTATGATAATGTGCTATTGGGTCCAAAAATCAACTTCAAATCCGACCAAAATGATTTTTATGTGCGACAAGGGAATTTCCGTCTTAAAAATGAAAAAGTTAGGTTGGTGAGGGCCTTTTTTGTAATTTTCCCTTTAAAATACATTAGAATGAATTGTCCAGAGCGGTTTATTAACTATAACCTTTTTTCTGAATAAAGTTACATTTTATGGTATTTTGCTAAGTACCGATGAGAAAAGATAAGGGGTATTTTTTTTATTTTTATAAGGGGTAAAGTTGAAAATTTTACTAAAAAATAATGGTATTTTATAAATAAATTTTTTAGCACAATATCTTCTAAAATACCATTATACTTTTATTAAAATTTCAATTTACTCTTATTTAATGTTTAAATTACATATTAAACAAAAAATAATGATTTTATGATAAATACAGTCATCACCACCCATTATAGTATTAGCTTTTGTATTTTAAAGGATTGTTAATTCTAGACAAACACATTTATTATTGTCTATAATTTGTTGTTTTGTTAAAATTAATCTTGATAATAAATTATTTGTTGCTCAGTGTCTCTGATAAAATTATTTGAAATAAACCTATAGTGAGATTTTGTATTTCCTAAAAAGTTATTTCTACATCATTCGAAGTAATTTACTTGCATGCTTTTAGCCAAAAATAACTAAAACTAGATGAAAAATCACCTTAAAAGTTAAATAATATAATAATATCATATGCCAAATAGCTAACAACATAATGTTTTTAAGAGTATTCTCCCGAAGAGATTATTTGTTCCAAACGGGCAATCCACTAGGTATTTAGGTTTTAAGAGACCGGAGCATTTAAGTTTTACTTTTTGAAAACATACAGTTCCCTTTGGTCTCGTACATGATTAGGAGATTTTTTAAAAATTGAAGTAATCATTGCATGTTAAGAAAACAAAGCAAAAACATAAGTTGTGACCTGTATTCTATAATGAAAAGGATCAGTATTATATATAAAGCAAGAAATACAAAATATAGAAAACTACCTCGTTATAGATCACCTCTATTCTTTCACAAAGAAATATTTGGATAGGATTTGCTATAAATCACATTTATCTACTTGCTTTTTCAAGCTTAATAGATATCTAGATTCCCTCATCCAATACTTATTTCTCACTGGCTAGAATTTGATTATGATTCGGTTTAGATTTCCTTATTTAAATCTTCTAAGTTGAACATGATTTATTCTAAATATTATCTATCCAAAGCTAAAATTGGATTAAGATTTCCATAATCATCATACAATTTTATTTATGTCCCTTATAAATCCTAAAAGTTTAGGAGTAACTTATCGCTCGCATTCCTAACCAATTGGCAACTCTTATGGAGTTCTTCCAACTAAAAGGGCTCTACATAAATCAACATCTCCCATTCATCTTGCAATGGGTGCATATAAATGAGTTGTTCTCTTCATCAATAATTGGCAAGTGCATTGCCATACAAGAACTACATCATATACTATAAAGAGAGAATATAATTTTTATCCAACATAACATTCTAGAAAGATATAATTTTTTCATCAGGAGTGACTTGTAGGAAAGGGCCTATATTTCTAATTTACGCTTTTATCAAGTGTAAAGGTTGTTTTCATCCGAAACGTGTTCACAGTTCTTCGGACCTCACTATTTATGAAAGCGATAAATAATGATATTTTTGTCAATAACAACTCTTAAGAGGAGTAAGAAGGATTTTTGTATTTGTGGGAAAATGAATATCTTGGGTAATAAAGAAAATTTTGTTTTAAGCATTCATCGGAGCCTGGAGGGTTGTAGAGAGTAGATTTATCGGAGAGGCTCGTAAAATATTTAAATTTATCAAATAGTCTCATAAAGAGTGAATCAATGTCAATGATGCAGACTAGGGGGCCTTTTAGATGTTATCCCTTGGATTTTTAGAAAAATACCAAAGTATTGAACTAAGTTTATACATGTTCATCACTTGGTCTGGATATCAAAGTATCCTTTTCATGGCCTCCCTATATTCTATACCCCCTTTGTTTTTTTTTTCAGGAGTAAAAGGTTATATAATATAGCAAATGCCCAGACATTTATAAAATAAGGCATAAATAAGACAATGGATTCCGCTTGCATGGAGCACACATAACATCATTTCCTTTTCAGCCTCCATACTTGGTAAAGGATTTAGGCTGAGGCCATGACCCTCAATAATAGGAGTGTCTATGGACTTGTTCCAGGATTTTTTTTAATGTAAATCTTTTGAAACAAACGAAGGAAAAATCTAAGAATGATCAAATTTGATCTTGATAAAAATACATAATACGCTCAGCTATGCCCATAACAGATTTGGAGGAAAACCATCCGCATTGGCATTGGTCATCTCCTTATCATTTTCTGCCATTAAGATATTGTTAACATACAATGACATGATCATGAAATTTTCCTTATGATATTTTTCAAATAATTACGATATTTTTCAAATGAACAGTAGTCATGTTCAATGATTGAAAATTCATTAGAACTTGGAGCCTTATGAAATTCTACATATCATTGTCTAAAAAATCTATTGAAGTCCATAAATTGATTTAGCAAGTTTATAGACCTTAAACTCTTTTCTATAGAATGTGCAACCCTTTGATTATCTATAGCCCAATAGCCCAGATGAATCTGGACCAATCTAATAATCACAATTCTATTTCGTAATTGAAATTTAATTTTTTTCTACAAATCTAAATTATATGAAATTTTGAGCACCTATTTTTCAAGAATAGTAGAATCTAATAAAAATATCAAAAACATAATTTGCATGAATTAAATTGACCAAACTACCCCTGAAATATTAAAGTGGTATTTTAATCAATTTATTTTATGTGAATTATTTTTTAAAATATTTTTATTAGGTACGCCTTGATGAGAAGATTTTATGTTTTAAATTTCATGCTATTTGAATTTATATAAAAAATATTAAAATTATATTACCGATATACAGTTCTGACCGTCAGATCGGCCCAGATTCGATCTGGACCATTAGGCTTATACTATTCCATCAGCTAGTGGGCTCATCCTAGTAGTAGTCATATTCAATGATTGAAAATTCATTAGAACTTATAGCCTTATGAAATTCTACATATCATTGTCTAAAAAATTTATTGAAGTCCATAAATAGATTTAGCAAGTTTATAGACCTTAGATTCTTTTATATAGAACGTGTAGCCCTTTGATTTATATATATATATATATATATATATATAT